CTTGTACAATCAAACCATTGAAACTGCACACCACCTCTTCTTTAGTTGCACACTAGTAAATGACCCCGTAATAAGTACGGAGAAGTTAATTTTATATATAATATATATATTGAATAAATATTAATGATTTTTATTACTGTTTATAAATTGTCATTTTTTAAGACATTCATACAGTCTACGGGTCCACATAAATTGACACTTATATGTCATTAAATTCAACTCGAACCGTTTATTACTTTAATTTAGTCATTCTTATTATTATTATTATTAATGTATTTTAGTATTTAATTTAATTTTTTTGTTATATAGTAATAATATTAATTAAATTTGTAATTATTTAAATATTTACTTAAAATAATTTTTTCCAAGTGAGTATAATTATTATATAATAGATTTGTTAATTCATATTTTGCATTTAAGAATAAACATTAATGATTCGGCTTAACAATTTTAATGACTGATAATAAATATTGATTCTCATTTAAGGTTTAATTACTATATACGGTAATTATTATGGGGTATGCTTTGAATAAACATTAATGATAACTAATTATTTCTATAAATAATTGATTGTTATTATTATTTACTTAATTCAGTTATTTTCAGCAAGTAATTATTTGATTTAATTTGAATTATTTCATCTTTTAATTATTTATAATAGCCATTTAGGGTATGCTCTTTATTTGATTTAAGTTTTATCTAGACAATGACCCCATACTAAGTAAGGGGCAACTAATCATTTAATTTGAAATTTACTATTTAATAATAAAAAATCAACGTCCTATTGAGCAACCCACCCCCAAAAAAGTATCAATGACTTTGAAATCATTAATCTATTTATAAAATAGTAAAATTAGATGGATGTTTACAACAATATCACCAATATTGCTTAATATTTAGGGACATATGAATGAATAAAAAGCATTTAAATGATATCAATTTAAAAAGGCAAAGAATAAAGAAAATCATTCAAAGAGCTGCTAAGAAAAACAATCCATGCCAAACAACATTTGCAGATGCATCCATCCTATAAAATAAGAGATGAAAAATATATGACTACAATCAAATAAATCATCATCATGTATGGCTACAATCAACTGATAATATAATCAGGACTCCAAAGCCCATCCTCCTTTCTTACTTCCTGTTTAGCTCTCTTCCTTCCTTCTCCATTACCCCTTCCTAGTCCTCTCATTAAGCCACATCAGCAAGTCTCCCCTTGCTCCTATTAGTCCCCAATTCCCAATTGCTTAAAAATATTCCTAAAATATCTCTATCTTTTAAAGCCTATCCTAAATCTTCATAAAACCTCTCTCTCTCTCTAATTGACCCATGTTTTTCTCATAAAATATTTTTTTAATTACTTTCTATTCATTTAAGTGAGTCAATTAAAGAGAAACAACTTGAACTATTTACGAGTATAATATACAATATGGGTTCCATGTGTTGACATTACCCGTACTAATGTATGTTAAACTCGATTAATAACAATAGTTTGCAAAATTAATCAGTTAACTAATGTTAGTAATATTCATTTAATTTCCATTTAAAATTGATTAATGTGATAGAAAAATTTACTGTTTTTAATATTAACAATAATAATTGTTATAATTAATTAAAATAATATTATACTAAATTTATAATAATAAATTCTAACATTATTAAAAAAATTAAATAATAATAAACCTAGCATAATATCATAACTTAAACTACACATCAATAACAATTTACCAAATAATTAAAATTTAATAGAAGTAAAAGTTATTAATTTAAAACCCAATTTCAAAATAACGAAAAATAAACACAACAAGCCAGGTTCAATATGATCTCCCTTCACCCTAACCCGACCTTCCAATGCTTCTATTTGAACTTGACTCAATGACATATAGTTTCCAAACTCAACCCAAACTTATAGGGGTTCGACTTGATACCAACCAGACTTTTATTTTTCAATTGTATTTTTCTATAATGCATTTGAAAATCCAAGTAAAGATGGCCATCTAACTTACCCTTGTTGGGGCTTTGACTTGCCTTCCTTGACTAAGGCATTTTTGACCGTTTGATTAGGTTCAGGGCAAGTTTTAGGAAAACCCAAACTTTATTGACTAGGGACAAGGTAGGGTGGTATTTGTCCAATCTACTCCGAGCCGATCGTAAACCCCCCAATAAACAATGTGTATGATATATTATTTTATATCATGTTTTATATATTATATATAATATTTTATATTATGCATTGTATAAAATAGAATTTATAACCTTCAAAAAAACAATAGAATTTATACAATATATAATATTGTAAAATCAACCATAATAAACATTATCAAAAATAAAGTTTCAATGAAAGTTAATGCAATTTTATCAATCAATACATACCACAAAAAATAATGCTTGCGATGAATTTACTTTGATTTAACCCAATTAATTAGTGAAATAAGACTTCTTATAACTCAATTACTTACAATCAATGTTTTAAAAACCGACCCAAAGGCCTATTTTTTTCCTCTGAGGTCACCAGTTTGACTGACTGGGTCGAACAGTTCAGACTATGCCACATCATCGTATATATATTTATATTTATATACATATATATATATATGTGTGTGTGTGTGTGTAAATATATATTTTAGTAATAAATAATGTATAAATATGTTTTAGATATGTTATATGTATTATTTTATATTTAATTTATGTATTTTAATTCAAATTTTATTTTTTTATTTATAAAAATATTAAAAATTGAAATTTGAAACCAAAAAGTTTTTTTTTTCCGCGAAAATAGTGGGGCAAGGTGCCTACAGCAGGCTCCTTGTGATGCATAGATCTTGAAAAGTTTCCCAAAAAAAAAAAAAGTCACCCCAATCAGACATCGGAGTGCAAAGTTATGGCCTCTAAAAGTTTGTATGCTTTAAGTATGCAACTCGTGACCCGGTCATCGGGCTGAATGGTTCTTGGCCAAGTCAATAGTTTTTGACCGTTTAGGTCTTAACTGAACCGAACCCGGATTCCTGGCTGGGTGATAGTTCGATTGGCTAAGTCAACGACAGATTGAAAACATTGTTTATAACAAAGCTCATGCATCGCATGGGTTCTTACTGGTTACTATATTAACGACGTGAATCTATTAAAATATATAAAACAACCTATCGAATGTATGGAGCGGCTGCAACCATGTCACAAAATTCATTAAACTCTTTAACTTTCATCTTTTTTGTCCCTTAAACCCATATTCTAGCTTAATTTGCATGTGGCCAACCATCTATAACATATAACCGTTGGTGCTACTAAGGGTGCTCATGGTTCGGTTAATCAAAGCATAAGGGTTTTTTTGGAACTAAACCGATTCTACCGGTTTTTCCATATCCCCAAACCAAAACTAAATCGACACTACTAGTTAGCTGGTTGACCGGTTTTAAGTTTTGACCAGTTTGGTTCTTCGGTTTTTTATATTTATAACATATATTATAAATAATATATGGCATAATATATTATAAATATGTATATTATATTATAAATGCTATATATATATATAATATTTATAATATATTATATATTTCAAGTAGATAAATATAAATAAATAATTATAAATATAATATATGTATATATTTTTTAATATATAATATATGAGATATATTATAAATATATAAAATATATCATATAAATACATATATCAGTCAGTTTGGTTAATTGCCCTTTTTTAAGTTAACTGAGAATCAAACTGATCGATTTAGTTAAACGCATTTTTCTGTTCGATTTGACTTTTCAGTTTTTTATGAGCACTCCTAGATGCTATATATGTCAAGTTTAAAGCTTTAGTGTCTGTTTGGCATCGATGTCGTTGCTCTAGAAAACGGTGACACATCAGTGCCATGTCAGAAAAAAACAGTGCTCCAAGAAACGTCTATTTGTTTAGAACCGTTTTTCCATAAAAAAACGATGTTCCAAGCCACGCCTTGGAAATCGAGGTGTGGTTTGTACCAACACCAAATTTGGCATTTTCTCATATTGGAGCTTGTTGTTGCCAATGAGGACGTGATGTGGCAGTGACATGGACTTCATATAATGGGTATCGGTGCTGAAAACATATATAGAGCACTGGTACCAAATAGAAAGTGTTGTTGTTGCTCCAGGAAACGTCTTACCTAGCAACAACGTTTCCAAAAAAAAAAAAATACACCATTTTCTCATAAAACTGTGCTTCCAACCCACAGTTTTGGTTTGAAGGAAAATGTAGGGAAAGGAAGGGAAAGGTAGGGAAACCTTTACAAACCTTGTATAGGTTTCCCTACCTTTTCTTTCAAACTAGGGGTGATCATGGGTCGGGCCAGGCTTAGGCTCGGGCCTAAAACATAAGCTCTAGCTCAGGTCTGATTCCGGGCCAATGTTACTCATATATAAAACATTACATATCTATATATTAAATGACATAACATGCATATAAACTTATTTTATACATTATATAATATAAAATATTACTTATAATATAAATTATATATATTTATATAATATAATGTAAAATAACATGTATACATGTGTATATATTATACACAAAATGTGTAAATTTAAATATATGCGGGCTGAGCCAGGCCCGGGCCGAGCTTGAAGTATTAAGCCAAAGCCCGACCCTAAAATTTGCAGGCCTGATGTGAACCTGGGCCCGGGCTGAAATGATCACCCCTATTTCAAACCAAAAGAAAGAATGAAACGGGTTCTATGGTTGACCTCAATTTGATTCAACCCGGCCTGACTTGCACCCAAGAAACGTGTCAACCACCTATTGGCTGAAGTTCTCCAATAAAGATGGATTGGATGAACAAAGAACAAAGAAGTGGAACAGAACAAACGGTGACGTGGAAGGCATCGATCGGCTGCCTTCTTTCATCTTATATTGTCAGAATGTTTGATTCCACAACCAGATCAGACTGATGAATGGCTTCGGAAGCGTAAAATCTTTATTAATTTAATAATACTTTAATGTATAAATAAATAATAATTTAGCCATTTTCTCCTGTTCATCCCTCAGGAGCACTAGGAGCACTATCGACTGCTCCGAAATTTTAAGAGCAGAGAGAATCAGCTGCAGTTGCAGAGGAGAGGAAGCAAGAAGGAGAAAAAATGGAGGTTGGGTTCTTGGGTTTGGGCATCATGGGGAAGGCAATGTCCATGAACCTCCTTCGACATGGATTCAAGGTTACTGTCTGGAACAGGACACTGTCTAAGGTTACTTCCTCTCCTATATTCATTTCTTCTCAACTAACTACCCCGGTCCACCTTAAGACTACTTCATTTGATTAGATTTGCTCCGTGTACTGATCATCTTCCATTGAGTGCTCTTTTCTTTATGTAATTGTTCACTTGTTTATGTTTGATTTTCTGGGTTTGGTGAATTCTCAGTTTTGATGGGTGCTTAGGGATTCTGTTCATGTTTTCTCTATCTTATGTTCTGTATATTGACTCAAATGGTTCTCAACTGTTCTCGTTGGCATTAGCAATCATTGAAAATTTAGTGCTGAGTTGCTGATTTCCGTGGTCTATGATAGAGAAATATAAGGTATTTTGCAATAATAAATGTAGGATAGTCGTGTAGTTTCGAGCTGTAGGATTATTAGTAGAAACCATTCACTGGGCTGGTCAACTGTAACAGCAGATAGTGATGTAGGCTGGGGATAAGAGAAAACTAAGTACCATTACATTGTTGATTTAAGAAAGGCCTCCAGAATCCAGTAAACTTCTCAGGTCGAGTTTAAAAGGAGTTTTAGAAAGTAGATCAGTGCTCTGATATGAGGCTGAAGATGAGGTGGAGTCAAAGATTTTTGACATGCCATTATCTTCCTTATAATTGTGAGTCATTTTGTGCTCTATTGATTAGTATGCTGATGATAGAAATAATGTAAGCATTCTCTTTGAAGACCTTTATTGAAAGATCAGAAAAAATGGCAATGGGATTGAAATGGTATAAAATTAGCCACGATTTACACCCTTTCCCAATCCCCAACCCTTTGTTTCCATTTCTGTTTGTTTTGTTGACTGGTATGACGTCGCATTTTCTACCTTGTTGAGCTTTGCTCAGAATCTGGAAAGGGTTAGTAAACTTCATTTACGTTCCGCCTTAGTGATCGAAAACTAGGTCCTGTTGTGCATCTTGAGAGTTGAGAGTATGAATGCACATATTCTCATTGGTTGATCAATCAAAAAAGTCTTCTAATGGGTTAGAGCTAGGCTGCATTTTTTATTCTTTTTTTGTTCTGGATTCTCTTCTGAAACTCCATTCAATTTTCTGCTCTTTCTACTGACTAATGGTTAGGAATGCACTTGAAGCCTGAATCATCAAGGAGATAAAATAAGTTTTCTGAGCAATTCCAATGGTAGTCAGGTGAACATTTATATTCCTATCCTGGGATAGAGATGTTGGTGGCTTCACCCTTAAAATTTCATTTAGAAACTATATAGGGAAAGTGAAAAGGAAGCAGAGGAGCTTACAGGAGAGTGGAAGATTAATTGGCAATTTTGTGGAGCGTTCGGTTATACTTTTAGAATGGAAGATCAATTGACTGTTCTATGGAGGTGGCTCTAATAATGTAACTGTGACCAAGACTCAAGAGAAACCCAACTTCAAGGATCTTGTAAACAAGAAAGTTAGAAGGCAAATGCAAATCCAACTTCATGGGCTCTGTAAATTGAAATTGAGAAGGCAAATGCACCTTTGATATTTTGTATGGGTTATGTGGAATGAAGGTGAAAATCAATCCCAACTATTAAACTTTTACTTTTTTGAGTTATTTTGTTGATGTTTCTCTGCAATATAATCTTGTTATTCCTTGAATAATCATTACTTGATGTGTTACTTTCCTTCCCGTCATATGCCATGTTGTGTTCACAGCAAGCTACTTTTTGAAGAAAACTTATTTTATTTGATACCATGTTTATACATTCATTATCATATGAATAAGGTTTTCTATTAGACCTAACAACAATACAGTGGAGGGCTGATGCAGACTCTACACTGTCCAGCCAATAGGGGATACTCTAGATTGGCTTCTAGTCATTTCTCATCCATTCCATTTAGTTTTCCTTACAACAGGAAATGGGAAAAAATATTCTTTCCTTTTCTTGTATTCTGTATGTTATGGCTTCTTAACAGACTGTGGTTTACTTCCATCCCATCTTTGGAAGGGGAATGGATCTTGTACTATTTTTTCTCTGCCTATCATTTTTTAAAGGATGTTTTTTCTGTTATTGATTAAAAAGCAATTCAATATTGTTAATTTGTTATGTACCAAGTTTCAAAAAAGACAAACCTGTTACACTTTGTTTAAATCATCTTACTACTTGTATATCATCTTGATATTACACATTCATGAATTTATTTATTTTAGAAATTTACCACATAGCATATGAACAAAGTGATTTTTCAAATGGTAAATCATGAAACTAGCCCCAGAGGGTTCAGTAGTTTATTGATCTAATGATGAGATGAACTCTATAGACCTACCAGTTGGTTCTGTTTGTAAATGCCTGCAAATTCTTCAACAGTGGATTGAATGGGTTTAAGTTTCAGGATCTCCAACCCTATTTTCACTCTTCTTATCTACTTTTCTTTCTCTTTTCCATTGTCCAAGTCCTCCACCTATTTCCTTTCTCTTTCCTATTTCAATGGATCTTCACATGTAAAAATTGTTCTAGTAAATTTCGTTCTTCTTACCCTCAAGATTCAAATTACAATCTTGAATATCCAAATTTTTGGGACTTAAAATGAAACTAATGAAATGTGGCTATTTCAAAATAATGCAAGCCAAAAGTAATTTTTGTCAAATTTTCATGCACTTATTCATGTTGGTAGTATGAAGAGCTTGTAGGACATCTTTTCCATCATAACTTTCATTCTGCATATCCTTGAGATTTGAATAAGGATTCTGGATGCCAAAAAATTCTGTTGGGACTGCACTGAAACGTGTCCCCATTTCAAAATCTTACCGGACAAGGCTAACTTTTGTCACCTTTTCATGTTTTTAATCATGTTCATAGTGTGAAGAGCTTGTAGAACACGGTGCCTCCATTGGAAAAACCCCTGCAGAAGTAGTCAAGAAGTGCAAGTACACCATAGCAATGTTGTCAGATCCATCTGCTGCTCTTTCAGTTAGTAAATCGATGTTTTCCTTCTTTCTTTATTTTCATATCAAGTATCTATGGTTATCCCTACCATATTCTGTGATTCTGTCTTTTATAAATTCAGGTGGCTTTTGATAAGGATGGTGTTCTTGAGCAAATTTGCAGTGGAAAAGGTTATATTGATATGTCAACAGTTGATGCTGATACTTCATCAAAGATCAGTGAGGTATGGATTAATTCCATTTCAAAACAGTCTGTGTCATTGCTTATAATTGTATTTTGATAAATGAATGTATCTTCATGCATGGAATCTGGAATTTCACTGACTTTCTTGCCAAACAGGGGGCATCTAGGGAGGAGCTATTTTGGGAAAATTTGTAACTTTTTTCTTTTTTTTTGTTCTTGTTTTACTGTAATGTTTAGGAGAGGATGCTTGTAACAGCTTATCTTCTTTGATTACTGAAATTATGTTTCAATTATAAAAAAAAAAGAATGAAGTATAAATTGGATATGTGCCATGCACCCTTTCCATTTGGGCTAGCTCCTGCTCCCTAATCCCTTTTAATTTCACTATTCTTAACCTTACACAATGCTAAATAATTAGCTGATCTTTTAATCCAGCAAAAGTTTGTTTTTGATTCCCTGGCTATTGCCATTTTTTTGTGTAGTTCCATGAACCCATGCTATTATGTTTCAAGTTTTTAACCACTCCATTACCTCCCGTGAGTCACCTTCCAATTTGTACTAGAATTCTGGGTTTGTCTGGACGAATTTGTTTTATGGTAACTAAAATTTACAGAAGTAGAGTTTTGGGTCTACTTCACTGACATGTTTTCACTTTAAGCTAGAAATTTGCAGACATGTGTGTTAATGAAATTTATGATGCCTTCTGCTTCTAGTGGAGTTGTAGACAAAAAGCATTTTTGTCACCACAGTCTCTCTTATTTGACCAATAATCTAACATAATCCCAAATAATCCCTCTCCTTGTTTAGAGCCTAGATAACATATAGACAAGTTATGCACTTGTGAAGAACAATAAATTTCTAAACCTTTCAGAAAAAAAAAAAACATATTCTCTCCCTTCTAAGTTTTTCTTTTTACACTATATACCTTCACTAAAGCTTACTCTATAGCTATTTTTTTTTTATCAATAATCTAAACAGATAATTGCATTCCCAAGGTAATAGAGAAAAATTTGAAGCTCCTTTCAACATACTTGTTTCATAAGAACTTGCGATTTATTTGTATCCTGCTCTCCTAATGAAGCTAAAATTTTCCTTATAGCTTTTCTCTAAATATTAGTAATTTTGGTGCTTAATCTCCATTCTTTTATTTCCTGGTAATGCTTCATTTGTTCTTAGTGGCCTCCTCAGGAGAACAATCCTGTTGTCTGATCTGCCAAACAATTTTTCTTTTTGATTGGTAGTAAAGATTTATTAATATCAAAATGTATGCAAGAGGTTCAGTTCCCCATGTCTCTCTTAGTTCCCACTATAACAATCTTTTAATACCAGAGTCCTAACAATATCACTAACAACACCTTTTCGTCTGGTATTGAAAGGTTGTAGGTGTTGCCTCAACACCTTTTCCTCCTTTATCCCGGGTTAAAACAGCGACTTCCCTTTGATTCCATTTTCCTTTGCTTTGGTTAAATGCCTTCGTCTGCCCTTCTATTCAATATTCAAAAGGTTACCTATCAAAAAATAAAAATAATCAAAAGAAGGTTTGTGCTTGATTGTAACCCCAAGCTATGATACCATATACGGTAAGGACATGACAAGACAAGGCATTGGACATGGAATTTACAATAAATTGAAGCATCTAATGTAACATGGTACCCATGTGGGAGGAGCATAGGGCAATCCTATTCTTCCTAGAGTTGAGGCTTTTGCTTGGTTGGTGGTGATGGACAGCATTCTTACTCAAGATCAAGAAAAGAGGCTTTTTCTTGGTAAATAGATGTGTCCTGTGCAAAAGAGAAACTAAGAATTTTATGTATTTTATGGTTGAATGCATGTATACAACTTTATTTGGTTCTTTTTCCTTCGTTTCTTCAAGATGGGGGGACGGGCCCAGGGGTGGACACGAATTGAGCCTTTCACAAGCTATTTGAATTCGGCTTGTGAAAAGCTTGATTTGACTCGGTCTAAACCGAGCTTCGAGTTGAGCTTGAGCCCAATAAAGCTCAGCTCCTCGCGACCCTTATCAAGCTTTTATTTTTTATATGTATAATAACAACTAGTTTTTATAATTCTTAATTTTTTATATGGAAAAAAAATTTATATGTATAATTTTTTATTTTTATAGGAAGCTTGGCCCATAGTTGAGCTCGAGTCGAGCCGAGCTTGAACTTATGAGCTTTTAATTTGAATCTAACTTGAGCCCAAGTCTCTAGCTTGAGCCTCATAATTTTTTGGCAAGCTGAGCTTGAATATCCAGATATTCAACTTGGCTCGGCTTGAGTCCACCCCTAATGGAACCCTCAGTTTCCCAAAGAAATTTTTGAGAAGTGGCTAGCGGTTAATGGTAGCAAGAAAGCAAAAATCATGTGGACCTGTATTCCTTTTGCGGTTTGTTCGGGAGGTGTGAAAAGAACGAAATAGAAGAATCTTTATGAACAAGAAGAACAAGGAAAGATTATGTGCTGTCATCAGATGGAGATTACTGGATTGGTGGTTGATTCTTCCAGATTTTGTGGGTCTCAAGAAGGAAAATTTTGGAGCTGATTTTTGGTCGTCTTTGATTTGTCTTAATCAGATCAAAAGCATATGTAATTGCTGGTTTCAGTTTCTGTCTTCTGTTTGCATGTACTTGTTCTTTGTTTTGTAATTCGGGCGATGCCTTATGCCCTTATCACCTATCTCTCTGTACCTTTCTTTATTTAATGAAATTTCTTCTTTATTTATCTTCATAAAAACCCTGGTACCCATGTATAGGTGTCTCAGTATCATAGGTCCCCAAGGAAGAATCCATGGCCTTGCTTAGAAGTATTAATTTCTAATAATCTTCTTCATATCTACTTTCTTGTTAGTAAAATAAAAGAAATTTCATTAAAATAAAAGGAAGTCTGAGTACATCCAAAAAATAAGGTGTTGAGGCAACACCTACAAACAAAACCATAATTACTGAAAAATACTTAACACAATTGCTAATTTCCAACTCAAGGATTTCCTAGAATCTCTCCCCAAATTCTGATCCATCAACTTGAGTGAAATCTGGTAAGACCAACATCCAGTTGACAAAGCTTTCCAATTTCCAGTTGTCCACCACCACCTTCTCTAAGTTCTGAACCTTTGTTAGACAGTTTTGTATGCCCTTAGCTTCAATCAGAATGATGTACTTTATGAGATTATTGTAAATGAATAAAGGTGCATATTTGATTCATGTTCCCTTGGT